TCTTAGTATAAGTAAGTAGTAGGATACTGCAAAGCTATGACTGTCCTTACGAGCTCAGGTACACAGAGAACAGGTCCTGGCTGACCAGGCCCTGCTTCATCATGTTGTCGAAGACAGGTGTAGCACCGGAAGCAGACAGGCGTGGGTATGCCAAGCCCAGGATACCATCAGCACGCATGTACTGCATGAAGGGAGCCTCACTTGTGCTCAAACCGAAGATCTGGTTCTGCACAGCGAACCCACCCACCTGATGGACAAACATAAAGAGAGCACAGGAGTGTAAGACCGTCTTAAATTACAATGGTATCTTCTGTTGCTTTTTCTTTTTTAAAGATATTCAGTTGTAAATGAATCTGGGTACCTCAATGTCTTAAAAGTGGTTAGACACAGTGATAACCATTCTGTTAGAACTGTGAATAAAAATCATTTTCTGATTAAAAGTGACCCTTTATGCTTCTGTCTCTCACCGTCACAGTGTCGTATCCAAGGAAACCAATCATGCTGCCGGTGCCGTATTGGATCCTGAGAGAAGCGCCGTTTTGCCTGTAGGTACTGCTTAGGCTGGGGTTAAACTTGTCATGGTTGTCTAGGAAGGTAGAGATTGTGAAAAAAAACATCTAATTTAAATTTGCTGTTACAGCGTGAATTCACTTTTTTTTTTTTTTTTAGATGTGCACTTTAGCAGGAGTCACAAGAAAATTATGCAAGTGACAGTCAAAACGATGAAAGTACAGTAAGATATTTAAACAGTTAAGCAGCAAAGAAGCAACAGACCTATGCAATTGCTATTCGAAAATGTACAATGTCAGATACAAAGCAAATTTATAAAAGTGGCACAGAAAAGCTCCCACGGACTGTGTGTCCTCTGGAAGATCTTGACCTCTCATCCACGTATAGCTATCTCAGGTTCTTATCCCCTCACCCAAAATTCAGCTGAAATACTAACCAGGGCTGTAGTACTTGAGTCTGGTCTTGGTCTCAAGTCCAGCTTGACACCACTTTTTTGAAGTCTTGCACTTGTCTTGGTCTCAGGCCTTGTTGGACTCCGTATTCTCTTGGTCTCATTCTTGGCTTATTGAGAACTTATCCAGTTGTTGCTGGCTGCTGATTCAGGTTAGGTTGTACAGAGCATTGCCTGGTCCTACCAACACGATGCAGGAAAAAGTACCCCTCCCACTGCTTCTTTCTCTCTGGCACTGGCCCAGTTTTGCAAGCAACACTGACTCTGAGCCCAGCACTTGCTGCCACAGTCTGCTAACTGTAACATCACTCACAGCAAGTCACTAGTTAGCTACACCAGCTAACATTGGATGGCAAAATGTCCACAAATTCCACCATAATTGAATTTGTTTTACCAACCACAAAGAACGGGATATCATATCAGTTAACATACCTGCAGAGACCTGTAGTAGTCCTTAAACTTATATTTGGGCTTGACTCAGACTCGACTGGACCTGGTCTTGGAGTTGACTTGGGCTTGATTAAGCTGGTCTTTACAACAGCCCTGATACTAACCATACTCACTTTTGAATGCTTCTAAATCCTATTTTAGGAATATCAGACCACTCTAGCCCTACCCATGGGATTTCGATGTCATCTGGTTTTTCCTATATTCAATGCTGTTTAGCTTGAATAAGCACCTGGTTCCCTCAGGGACCTTGGTGGTCAGCTGAAATGTGCCAGCCTTCTGTGTGATCCTGTATCAACTTTAAATGTCAGTCAAGACTGGCAAGACTTCAAGAAATCCCTAACCCTAACACTGACAGGAAAGTCTTGCAATCATTTTAGATAACCAGTGCAAACTGTTAATGTTGGAAATACCTTCAGTGAGGGAAGTAAGATGGCAAAACATTATCAGAATCTAACATGTGTCTAAATGTTTGATGTATGTGCATGTGCAATTTTACATACTGCAGGCTGGGCTGCTGCAGTAAACGGAGGGCACCCACAGGTTAGATGAGCCGGTGTCAAAGACGACCTTGAAGGACTGAGGAGGAGTTCCAATGGAGATGATTCCAAAGTAAGCCAGCTGGAGATGAAGAGGAGATACCAGCATTATTCATGATCAAAATCAGCCATTCATTAAAGTTTGTCTGTTCAAGCTTTAGCAGCTGTTACTCACATCAGCATCATTGGTCATGGACTCAGTGCCCACGGCAAAGCTATTATCGAACTTGACCATGGGGTTGTATGGGTACTTGAGCCTGTACTCCTCCCATAGACCCTGCTCCTCCAGGATCTCCCTGGCTGTCTTGCCCTTTTCCAGAGGGACCCTAGGTGTTACCAAAGGGAACAACTTAATTCTGTAGCTACATTTGTAAGCCTTTTCTTGATCTGTTGAAGTTTTTTGCTGATGTATTCGTCCTTGTAATCATATCAGTACTCATATATTAGGACATTACAGAGAATTTCTCCTGACCTAGCTGCCTTTACTGAAATTCTGATTTACTCTTGAGCACAGTACATACAGTTTACATAGTAGGAAAAATAAAAAACAGCACTGGTCAGGCTGACTTACTGGACAAGGCACTCTGACAGTGCCACCATGGCACACACAACAATGGCCCACTTCATTGTCTCGGCTCAGCTGTCAACTGTGTAAGAGAAGGAATTTCAGTCGAATTTAGCTCATGTCACTGAGGTCGATCACCTCACAGAACCATTCAAACTGAAATATTGCAATAGTAATATAGTAGGTCTACTGTGAGTATACTCACCTGTGGACTCCAAAACCTGGATGCTGACAGACAGACATGCATCCTCTTTTATACAGGTGGACTTACATTTTATAATTACACAATGATAAGGCAAAACACACAAACAGGTGATAAGTAAAGATAAGTAATGCACAAAGTAATCGTTGACCTTAAGACAATGTCAATTATATGATTAAGGAAGGAACACAAACTTTTGGATAAAGCTTTTTGGATAACTTTAGTGCAGTATAATATTTGTGTTCATGTTGAAGGTGCTAACCACTGAAAGAAACAGCAAAGGTTCTCTTAGCAAAGTCAAAAGGTGATATTAGGTGGAATGATGTTCCTGATACGACTCTGAAACATAACAACTTAAATTTAAATATTTTATTGTGTATAATACTTACATTTTGTGCATTTTTAGTTTTTCTTGTATACTTTCTGTACGTTCATTTTTTTAAAAAAACTTTTTCCTCAGCATTTATGTACCCCAAATGCTATTACGCTACTAATAAATCAGTATGCTTTGTTTTAAATATCAGTTCTTTTCTTTGGGGTATTTGCCATATTTTTGCAAGTATGTTATGTGTATATATTGTGTTATGACAATATAACGTTACATATATAATGTTATATATGTTATTATATAACATTATATAACATATATAACGGGAAGAAAGTTTTTTGTTACTATGGGAGATCATGTATCAGGGATACATGAATTACCGTTTGGTGTTGCTCAGGGTAGCTGCCTTGGTCCTCTGCTTTTTTCATTGTACATGCTTCCATTAGGTGACATCATCAAAGAACATAACCTGAATTTCCACAGCTACACAGATGACACCCAACTTTATATTTCACTAGACCCAAGTGATGACCAATCCATCTGTCATCTAACATCTGGATTGGCTGCAGTAGACATGTGGATGCAAACCAATTTTCTTAAATTAAATGGTGACAAAACCGAAATCTTATTAGTTGGTCCCCAAGCAAAACAGGAGATAATTCTACAAGAAAGAGAGAGCATATCACCCCAGTTTTAGCTAACCTTCACTGGCTTCCAGTATCTTTTAGGATTGATTTTAAAGTGCTTTTACTTGTTTTTAAGGCTCTTAATGGGTTGGGACCAGCCTACATTACTAATTCTTTGTTGTTTTATAATCCTTGTCGGCCTCTTAGATTGTCTGCTGCCAGCTTTTTAAATACAAACTACTCTAATAAGAAAATTGGCAGCTCAGCCTTTTTTTTAACTATGCACCAAAATTATGGAACTCACTACCCAAGGATATAAGAGATACAAGCTCTGTGAACATTTTCAAACGACAATTGAAAACTTATTTATTCAACATTGCTTTCAACTGACTGTCACTATTCCCTGGTTTTTATCCCTATCCTTCACATTTTTTATCTGCTTCCATGCATTCTGCTGTTTTACTTTTATCTTTTACATATGATATTGTTCTTGGTTTCACTGTGTAGGATTTGCACTTGTCTTTTTTTTTTTAATTGTACTTGTCTGTTTTTATTTTGTTGTAAAGCACTTTGAGCTACACCTCCCTGTATGAAAGGTGCTTTATAAGTAAAGTTTATTATTATTATTATTATTATTATTATTATTATTATTATTATTATCATTATTATGACAGAGGAAAAAACAAAAACTGCATATCATCTAAATTTGATTGCATTGTCCGTGTACATTCATGTCAAACATCTCACACATTTAATGTCATTTCATTTTAAAATGGCAAAGATCTACAAAGGTGTAGGTTTTGTTTCAACATTGGGTGGTAGGACAACTATAAAATAAGGGGTTTGAGGTCCTCCCCCGGGAAATTTTAAACTTAACTTCCTGCATTTTGGGGAATTTTCATGCATCAACTTGTGCCTTCTCTGCATCCATTTAAGGTGGCAATGTCTTTAATTTTGTTAAAGTAAATGTCCTCCACTACTTTAATGTTATTATCAGGGGATGGTGGCATATGTGCATGTTCTTAATATTGAGGGAGACATGTCCCCTGCATCCTCCTCAAAACCTTAGACTTTGAACAGCACAATCAGTCACCTTAGCAAGAGGTTCCCAGTAGTAACAGTGTTTGCTGCTATGTTATCACTGTTTACTCCAATATCAAGGTCTTTTCCTTTAGATAAGTAATCATATGAATTACTGCTGATAAACCATTCATTGAGCGGTGTTACTATTTAAACTAAACACATTAATTCACAGTACTGTTATAGTAGATTACCGTTTTCCTGGTATAAATAAAATGTTTGAGGAAATGAAACACACCCAGTTTCAGACCATAAGGTCACTTGTCTTTATTTGCCTGTGGATTAAAATATCCAAAGTCTCTTTTAAAAGTATATCAGCATATAACTGCATTTACAGGTATGCAACATTGTGAGGAACAATACTATGTACAAAGAAGCAGTGAAAGTTCAATTTTTTCCAAATATTACATTAATTACTCCCCGTTCTCTCCTTCTTCACTTACAGCGTGAATGGTCAACAGGCTTAAATAATTACTGGGTTTTGAAAAATGACTTATACATCCATTATTTCTAAGTGTGCGCACTGGATAGGAATCAATTATTTTGTAACAAAGGAAAGTCCTGCACATAGAACATTTATAAAAACTCTAATGGAGGCCAGAAGGGAACGTAAGTTTGATGAATTCATTCAATAAATGTCTTACAGTATGTGCAAGTGTAGGGTGCTAAAATCTCTTTATATGAAATAGAGACTAATTCAAATTTGAAAATTTTATCACTCCAACTAAAAGCTTCCAGGTTGTTTTTCTTCAGAAGACTGGAAGATTTTATAGCTGTCTCAGAAATAGCACTGGAGGAACAGTTTCAGTCCATAACTGGTGACAATGGTAAGCCCAGAATTGGTTGCAGTGTATGGAGGAATATCTTTCATGGTACTCCAGCATTTTAGTATTGTACCCTCATAAAGTTTTTGGACCTGCCAAAATGGTCACAATCACTGCAGCAGAGTCCAAGATATCCTGATCTGAAGTCCTGATATAGGTCAAGCAGCAATTGCATTTTTTTTTTTAAGTTGACTCACTCTGATTGGTAAATGCCCACGTCTTTTACACTTCCTCACTCCTAGATGCCAACTAAACAGAAAAAAATTAGTGGTCTTAAACCCAAGCAGAGATACCCCCGATGACATACTCTGGGGTCTGGGGTTATCAGAACCACTGCTGACAATATGCAACTATTTGAGGCTGAGTTTTACTCCTTACAGAGATGGGACCAAGTCAGTGTTTTGCAAGTCAAAAGTAAGTCTCAAGTCTTGGCACTCATATCCAAAGTCAAGTCCCAAGTCAAGACTGACAAGTCTGAAGTCAAGTCCCAAGTCCTAAACTTTGACTTTTGAGTCCTAAACTAGTTATACTGTAATGCACTCTTCACCAAATGTAATGCTAATTGAACAACAGCGTAATGTTAATTCACAGAAATCATGTATGCTTTTTAATGCTTTTTGTATTTATTTGTTAAAACAAGTTGTGTCTACATCTGTAATTTGCATGTTTTGCATATTGCAATTTGTTTTTGTTTTTTTGGACCACCACATAGTTTTCATACCCAAACAAAATTATTTTTGGTATAATTTTTTCCAAATGGTGCTTTGTCATGTAACATTAGTCCTTCAAGGTTCTCTCCTGCAGGAAATGAATTGAAATTAATTGATTTGTGTCCCTCTTTGTAAATAACAAACTTTTTAATCTTTGGGGTTAGAGGAAGAAATCAAGTATTTCCTAGTCAAAGAGCTCATGTCCAGGTGAAGTCACAGGTCGCTGGTGTTAAAGTCCAAGGCAAGTTGCAAGTCTTTTTTGACTTTGTCAAGTCTGAAGATATCCAATTTTTGACAAGTCATGTGACTCAAGTCCTCCCCTCTGACTACCAAGACAAGTAAATTGATCTTCATGTGCAAAATCAGAGGGCTTTTATTACTACCTAAATAGCACCTGCTAGCAAACAATGAAATCCTCAAACCAGTGTTTCATTATGCAGCTCCAAAGCAGCAACAAATACAGTCCAAGACTTTGTAGATGCAAACCACTAGAGAGATCCGATCAGATACATATCTGTCAACTAAGTTCACTCTCAGTGTCAGCACATGGTCAATCTTGCTCAGTCCAAGCCTTCCTCTTCACAGGGACCCCGTCACTGATTTGCCACCTTACCCCTTCTTCACTTCTGGGTCTGGTGTTAGTGAATGCTAGATATTCTACTCCTTTGCCACATGGAGCATCTCTACCTTGGGCCTGGAAGATCCTCTGAGCTGCATCAGCTGAATGAGAGCTCCCAGAATGCCAGGCTCTTCTCCTGGGAAACCCGTCATATCCAGGAGGATACAAACCACCAATTCCAGATGCAAACTTGGCGGTTTCAGAAGTATGGTTTTCACTAGATGCCTGAGGCTGGAATGATGCTGAGTCAGACTCAGAGTTGGTGCTACGTGTACGGGGAAAGATGCAGACTGATGCAGCAGGGGAGTGAAGTGTGGCAGGAGTGAAAGAGAATGAGGACGGAAGGGAGACTCGTGGCTTGGGGTGAATAAGACCTGTCCTCCTGAGTCTTACTTCTCCTGTTTCCCTTCCTTCTCCTTCCAGTTCATTTGGCTTTGCTGACTCTCCGAATCTTTCTACACCTTTGTCCTCATTACTGATCCACCTCTTTCTCCTTCTTGTCTGAGCCTCTTCTAGTTTCATTTCCAGGTTGTGAACATCCTCAGTTATCTGATTGACCTGATCAAAATGAGATAGCAGCGCACTGACGCAGGGCAGCAGACGGTCCAGGTAAGGCTGGACATCGAACCCTGGCTCAGACATTGATGAGTCCTCAGACCTCATTGAGAAAGCCGAGGACAGGGGACAGGGGGATGAAAATGAAGAGGACAGGGAAGGAGAGCGTGAAGAGGGGAGGGTGGAAGATCGGGTGGAGAGACGGGATTCCTGTGAGGACCTGGAAGGAGGGATGTCCATACCTTCAAACTTCACCCTGTGCCTGAACTAGAGAGGAAAATGTGTGGAATCAGCAACATGAACGGACTTTGAAAGTTTTGCAGGACAACTAATGCCCTACCTACCTCTTTAGCTTTGGTGAGTCCCATCCACAGCTTAAGTCTCTTGACGAAGAACTCAACCATCTCATAGTCCTGAGGTTCGATGGTTGGACGGTACAGCTCAGCCTGCTCTGACCTTAAGGACACAGCAACAGAAAGCAATGAAATTTAGGCTAAATCCACATGAATACATTAATGATGCATTTGCATGTAGTGTCCACATTATTCTGGTGTTTTGAAATCCCCCTTTAGTTGGAAAACTGTGTTTTAGTCTGAACAGATGGAAACAGAGAATGCAGACACCCACGTTCACTTCCAACTTGGGTCTTATCAGTCACTACGTATCAAGCCAAAACATTATAGCTAGGTAGACATACCTTTTGTAATTTCATCCTCCTTGTATGAGTATTCCTTTCCTATTGTCACAGCTTTTTTCAGCAATAGATATTGTTCCCAGTACCGCTCTAATATGTGCCATATTTGCTTTAAGATTTCCAGCCACTCCCAATCTACGGCTTCTTCCGCCTTGACTTTCAGTAACAGTTCCACTTGTCGTTGGTCCAAGCAAAGACTTACTCTTTGCCATTGCTGTTCTTCCTCCGCATTTTTTCCCCACAATATTTTCTGGTAGAGAATCTGCTTCCTGTTTACGATGGCATGTGCATGCCCAGTGTACGTGAATGGTTATGTGATGTGTGTTTCCAGGTTTATAAGTATGGGCGGAGATTAAATCTGAAATGGTGCTAAAATGCTTGTGTATACAGAGATCATTTTCATTTCAAAATGCTGTGTAAAAATGAAAACATATTAGTGTGAATGCAGCTCTACTTGATGCATTTTGTACCCTACCCAGTATTATCCTCTCGTTAGCACTCTGCAAAAGGAACATTTGAGGTGTTAGAAGCAATCACCCTCTCAATTCAGCATGTTCATTGGTGGGTGGCATGGTGTTTCCAGGTTTGAACCTGCTGGCCAGCTTGGGCCCTTCTGTGTGGAGTTGCATGTTCTGCCCATGTTAGCGTGGGTTTTCTCCAGGGTCTACGGCTTCCTCCCAGTCCATAGACATGCAGGTTAGGTTAACAGTTGACTTAAAATCGCCTGTAGGTGTGAATGTGAGTGTTGTCTGTCTCCATGTGTCAGCCCTGTAACTGACTGGCAACCAGCCCACCGCTACTTTAAATAGGATAAGGGGTTTACAAATAATAACTGGATGGATATTCATTGGTAAAATTATGATCATCTGATTTTAATCCTTAGACCTTTTGATAATCCCCTGACATTTTCTTGACCTCCACCATGAGGTAGACCTATGTAGTTGTGATTGATATGTCTGAACACCTATTGAATGGATTGCCATGAAATTTGGTTTAGGCATTCATCTCACCCACAGGATGAACTGCAATCACTTTGGTGATCTCTTAACATTTCACATAGCGCCATTATCACGTCATATTTTAAGTTGTCCAATTGGTTTATGACCAAATCTCTGCAAAACTAATGACATACCTGTTAGCCTCAGCTGCACTTTGTGCTCAGTGCTAATTAGCAAACGTTAGTATACTTACATGTTTGACTGAGAGTAAACATCAGCAGATTCGCAATGTCATTGTCAGCATATTAGTGTACCTCACAGAGTCTGTATAAACATCTATTTGTACATGAATTTTTAATGTTTTTAATATGTCTTCACGTTGATCAAATGTTGTGTAACTCAGGTTCTGTCTGGGGGTGTGAGCTCAGGGACACTTTGTGTCAAGCTTGGAAAGACTGTAAATGTGTCAGTGTTGTAAAATTTACAAGATAAACTTACAAAATTTGGTAGCACTTTACATCTTGATAATAAAATGGTAATAGTGGGGTAATTGCTTGATAATAAAGAAGTAATAATAAGTAATACCATGTAATTATCAAAATAATAACCATGTAGTAGCTTTGTATTAACACTGTGTATTAACACATTTAATATTAATATTTTTGTATTGATTTTTTTATTATTAATTTTTTTATAGCAGGGTTATTTGGGTTGATGTTTTCATAATATTATAGGCTATTATCATTGTAATACCTTCAAAATGACATGAAAATTATTAAATGTCAGAATTTGTAATTACCATATTACAGTGCTGAAATTAATCATCCCTCATGTTCCAAACATTCCTTTTTGTTTCTAGGCACTACACAAGTTATAAGTCTAATGCTGTGGCTTACTACCTGGAAACACTTTCCGTTTCTGTGTAATTACCATGAATCAGGGCTGCAAAACATTTAACTACCTGCTTCTATTTAATTTCATGGTAATATTAAATTAGAACGCCGGTTAATTCTGTAAATTACTTCATATTACTTTGGTATTACCTCTTCATTGTTGAACTATTACCCCACTATTACCATGTTATTACTGAGCTGCACTATAAAGTCCTCCCCAAGATTTTGGTAAAATGAGGAACTTGTCATGTTAGATAAGAATGGACACTGGAAGTTTGGGTTGCACCTAATAACGTATAACTTTTGACATTGCAGTGCTGGGATTTTTACCCACATTTCCATCCAACCATGCTACTGGTATTATCGTGTATATATATTGTGTACCTGTATGTATGGATGAGAACAGCTCCACAGAGTCTGGCCAAGAGCCAAACACCTCCCCCCATCAGCAGAAGCCCATATAGAGGGCCCAGGACTGGATGGACCCTGCACAGTCTTTGAAGAGCCATCCGGCCACGCAGGATGGACAGCACAGAGACACCTGTCTGATGTACTGACAAGAAACCTTCCACCGAACGGGAGAAGAGCTGAAAGAAAGACAGAGGCATATCAAATACACTTCTTCTTTATCAATATTTGATTCAGCTGAACTCTTCTTTTTGTACCGTGTTTCCGAGGTGAGTGCAGAGCAGCAGCAGCAACAGCAGCAGGACAGTCAGAGCCCACAGCTCCCTCCAGGCTCTCTGCAGCACTCTGCCTAACACCACCCACCTCCGCACAAACCTCAAGGTTCCCAGCAGCTGGGACACACAGAAATGGAAATGTGTAGACATTTAGTAGAGTGGGGAAAGCTGTGGACCAGTAAAGAGTTGTATAATGATGAACCAGAGCTCTCATTTACCTTTAGAACAAGTAGAGTGAGCAGGACAGCCGCACACTGAGAACACCTCTGTGCCAGAACAGCAGCACTGTGGAAGTTGATGAAGCTGTCTAGTTGGGATCGAAGCTGAATGACACATACAGGTTATTGTAAAAGGAACACATAGAGTAGCCGGGTTTTTTTTTTTTTTTTTTTACTTTTGCTATCATTTTCTATTTAATTATAAGCATGTCCCTCAAGATATGCTAATCTTACATATAAGGATAAGGCATTAAGTGAAGCACTGACACTGACTTTTTCAAAGCAGGCTATCAGACTTCCACTAATTGGTCAAATATGGACTCCTTATGTTAACATATATCAAGGGCCTGTTCAATTGGCACTCACGTCGGAGGTATTCTCAAAGGATCTTAAAAGTTTTCAGTTTTCATTCCCTACCTTGGAAACACAGAGAGTGGCCTCAGACAGGAAGCAGAATTGCAGGATAGCCGTTGCCAGGGACAACATCGCCAGCAGAATCTGGACCCAGTGCCTGCACTGATGCAAATACTGGGCACACTCAGTAGCCATAGACCACAGCTCTCCGAACAGTATGAGGAGAGCAGAGATGAGAAGGACAACCTGCAGTATAAAGGATGTGGATTTTATTACAAAATGAATTTTGAATCCCTTAAAATATGTATCAAGAACAACTTCTTTTCTTTATGTAGGCCTATATTAATAGTTCACAGTGTGGCTACTAGTTATATTACTTTCACAGTAAGTTACTGTATCATTTTTACAGTAAATCATTGTGAAATGACAGCTGAGTACTGTGATCTAACAGTAGTTATGCCTACATGCAGTACACTCCTGTAGAATGGCTACATTTAAATGTAACCTCACATTTAAAGCCCAATACATTACTGTGATATAACATTATGTTTAAAAATGATTGTATATAACGGTAAATTTACAGTAAATGTACATTTATTACTGTGATTTAACTGTATAGTCCTGTAGAAATGCTGTATATCAATGTAATCTCACAGTTAAACTCCATATAATACTGTGATTAAGCAGTATGCTCTGGTGTAATTACTATATCAAACTGTAATGTCACGGTTTAAGTCCCTATATTACTGTGATATAACTGTGGTCCTGTAAAATTACTGTTACTCGAGTTACTAGTTACCGTGAGTGCCACCTGCAGGTCCAGTCCAGAGAAGGATGAAGGGATGAGGAGCGGATGGATGGAGAGAAAGGGGGTGACTCTATGTGCCTGAGCCCACTCTAGTTGTATGGACACACACACAAATAAACCAGACTCTCTGTGGTAGTGTGTGAAGTCTATAGAAAGGGTCTGACACCTGGGATGGAAATGGGATTTAAAAGAAAAAAACACAATTAGCTAGCATGATTTGCTGAATAGATTTTTAACATGTTTGCTTCTTAATGACTATCACATAAGTATATGTCTCTTAAAGTGACGGCTGAGAACCAAAAAATCCCATCAGAAGATTCAGTATCCCATGTAAAATATGTAAAACAGTTTGGTAATCTAAATGAGAAAATTATAATGTATTATTATTTTATTGCTCCATTTGTTCCTGAAAGAAAAAAAAAAGTTGCATTGTTTTGTTTGTTGGCAAGTTTTAATAGGCTGGCACGCCTCATTATTTTCAAAAGAATAATTCATCTTTTCCTGCTCCCAGAGGATTGAACAACTGAAGAATGAAGGTATTAATAAATACGCACTCAGCATGTCTTGGAGATGCAGTCACCTCGCCGTAACTAATCCACTTACTGTTTCTTGCTCCAGTCTGCCATGTGCAAGTCAGCTAGGAGCTGGTGTGTGGTTACACTGCTGTTTCCTAACAAGACACTTGTTGGAGGACTGAGAGCGTGTGTGTACTGCAGCCGCGGGGATGCAACAAGGCGCAGTGTTGGGTTTTGGTGTAGGTGTGGCACCAAGGTGTGGTTGATCCACTGCTCTGCATCTGACCAGCTGGATGAAGAGACAATGGACATTAGCATGGGACTGTGTGTGTGTGTGTGTGTGTGTGTGTGTGTGTGTGTGTGTGTGTGTGTGTGTGTGCAAGAGAAAATGCAGATATATATACAGATGTGTGATGCACAATATCAGAACACATTTTCAATTTTAATTTTTTAATTTTTGAAAATTAAACTTTAAAAAGTAATGGACTTTAGGTCATGAGTCTAATGTGTCACCATGGCAGAATTAAGGCTGCACCAATATATGCACAGACTTTATAGTGATGTCATTATAAAGTCTGTGCACCAATATATGCACAGACTTTATAATGACATCACTAGTTGACTGAATGATATACATGATGACATCATGCACATGAAATAATTTACAATACACATATTGCAGTTCTGTTTGGGATGTATTTGTTCATAAAGAGGCTAAAATGATAGTTTCTGCCATCCCACATATTTCTTGATCTACCATTATCTGAACCATCAGGCAGCACATGCTTGTTTAATATCTGAAGTAGGGCCGGCACGATATCAGATTTTCACTACATGATTATCATGGAAAAAAGAGATTGATATTACCTTGATATGTACTGAAAAAAATAGAATGATGCCATCAGTCAAATTCATGCATTTTGTCTTTTTTTGGCAATTGAATTCCACTCAAAATACAAGCATAAGGAGGTGGAGAAAGGGTCTGTAACCATAACTGCATAAAAATGTACGAAAAGCTTAATTACACCTAATGGATAATGAAAAGAAAACCAGATGCCATAGGGAGACAAAGTGAGAACAGAAATAATTAGAGAGACACTGAATAATTTACACTATATTATCATATGTGTATTGTTATTAAATAAAACATGATGAAGCAGCATGTTGTTATCATGCAGCACAAACCTGGAATAACCTCCCAGATGATGTTAGACAAGCCCCGACTCCAAACACTTTTAAGTAAAAGCTAAAAACATTCATTTTTTAAAACTGTAAATCATTAAGTGATTAATTTTACCTTTTATATATTTTTTCAAACTCTTTTATTGTAAATTTATATCCTTTATTATGCTGTATATTTCATTGCTCTGTAAAGCACTTTGAATTGCCCTGGTGTATAAAATGTGCCATACAAATAAAGCTGCCTTGCCTTGCCTTGCCTTATAAACATGATATATTTCATTTTTTAATACCCAGGTTATCGCCAACAGTGGTATATTGTGACACTCCTAATCAATAGTTATAAAGTTTTTGAGCTTTAATGGTGCATTATCTTTATGTACTAGGTCCTTGTCATTTTAGACCTTGCAACAGATTTAGAATTTCTGACTTTGACAACTCCTAATAGTAATATCAAAGACACTGTGGTTTACTGTAGTTCATTCCACCCATCTTCCTCCCTGCTAGCACTTCAAAAAGATACACTGAGTGAGTGAGAAAATTTGATTTTTTTAATTTATTTTTTTGTTCACAACCACCTCTGTCACCGATGGCATTCACATCAGTAAAGTTGCTCTGTACCTGTGTACACTTGCATCATCATCTACGTGACAGTTGTTTGTGTTTGTTCCACATTTTTCTCCTCACTGACTTGGTCAATCCATGTGAAATTTGGCACAGTGGTAGAGGGTCATGGGAGGATGCGAATGAAGCAATATTACATCAATTGGCCAAAGGGGGCGCTATAGCAACCGACTTGAAATTTTAAACTTTGAATGGGCATATCTCATGCCCGTATGTTGTAGAGACATGAAACTTTGCACAGAGATGCCTCTCCTCATGAGGAGCAAATTTGCCTCAAGAACCCATAACTTCCGGTTACATAGATTTTCCGTCATTTTGAATTTTTTGAATTGGCATTTTTTGCCTATATTTGACAGGACAGTGAAGCATGACAGGAAGGATGGGAGAGCGAGAGCAAGGAAGACATGCAGCAAAAAACGAAGGCCAGATTCCAACTCCCACCGCTGCAACACTGCTTTGAACTACCAGTGCGCCCCACTTTTAAGTCAATACAACATATAAACACTTTAACTATCTGCCTTTCAACGTGCTACCTCAACTACTAATGGACACCCACTAACTATCCCACTATTGGCAATGGTTCTACTGTACTTTCAATAAAGCAATCGTACTATCAAATTCACAACAACTCTGTCTGAATACATTGCTCTTCTTAATGGGTTCAGTTGACTATCTAATCTGCAATTTCCTATGACCTGTATCCCAAACACACACCATGTGAAACTGTACGTGGGCAACTGTGCACTCAATGGGTATGGACTAGTTTGTTATATTTTAGAGATAATGTCAAGAACGACCCTCTCACCTGCCTTCCTACTTTCATATGCAGATTTCAGAGAAGATCGGTGGCATTGAGAAATGCATTTGCAAATCTACTCACCGGCTGCTACTTGTGTTAATTAATAGTCGACTTTTGATAAGTTGGTATTTACATCTAATGTGAGCAGTATCTGAGTACACATGAACCGTACTCAATATCACCTTTTCAAATGGACCTGGGCACAGATCATCAAACTGAGCTTGGATATGATACACAGTGTTGAAGCTAATCAAACAAACTAGACTTTGGAGTGAAGTGTTCCCAGATCTGGGCCCAGGTCCTTGATGTGAAAGCCTCCTTCATCAAAGCATGTCGTCTTAATATGTCTAGTAGAGGAAGCAGAGTCCTGTTGTCAAGGTTTTCTACGGTATGGTATGCTGAATGTTGGCCTTACCCGCTGAGTGAGGTGAGGTTAGGGACTCCCAAGGGTGCTCTATGAAGATGGCGCCTGACAGTGGAGTGCAGCAGCCTGCCTTGCCTCTGCTCTACGCTGTCCTGGTAGTTCACCATCAGCACCAGCAACAGAAATAACAGCTGGCAGACACAGTGCTATAGAAAACATGCAGAGGATATTAAACAAAAAGCTTGATTCTTCTGGAGACAAATTTTCACTTAATTTGAAAGTTGTGTTTTATTCTTACCCTCATTAGTGAACGTAGTGCTCGGACTTTGCGGGCCTCCTCTTTAGCCTGCAGCAGCCCGTAGCCACACGGCGGCCGGACCTTCCCGCCATGCTCTCCGAATCCCCTCACCACAGTGGTCTCCTGAACCAGCTGGTCCTCCACCTCTGGATCCACAGGCCTCCACAGTGCCGTGCAGATCAAGGCCTGCACACACACCTGAGCAGGGAAGGCAGAAATTTAGCTGAAAGGAATTATCCACCAAAGATCGAAGAGTTAATTAGATGACCTGTTTGAGCTAACCTTGAGAGGTTCCAGCAGCAGAGCAGAGGTTAGAAAAGCAGAGAGAGCTGATACCAGCCACATGAGGACTACTGTTCTGGACAGGAAGCTGCCGTAGAGTCCCACCACGGCCAGGCATGCCCCTAGCAGCACAGCCACCAGGGGGTAAATCACACACAGTGCCCAGGGAGGGAGCAGCCAGCTGGGCTGACCTCGAGCAACGCCTGGGTTAGGGGAATAGAACAACAGATATCTCAAACACTGTTCACACCAGATCACCAGATAAGAATAAAAAGATACTGATTGGTTATTCACTGAGTGTTTCTATCCCATAGTCTAGTACAGTGGTTCCCAAATGGGGGTTACTTATTATGCAGTTGCCAGGGGAACACATGGAAAAGATTGCAGTGTTCATCCAAATGGGCTGTAAAATGGGGTTGCATGTGACATAAAAGTTGAGAACCACTGGTTTGGTACCTATGCGTGTGGTGGAGGAGGAGCGTGTGGAGTCAGGAGAAGGGGTCGGCAGGAAGGTGCTGGCCACAGAGTCTACAGAAAGCACAGACGGACACTTGTAGAGTCTTGTCCCATACAGGGAAGGACAGGACTGTGGATCGAGCCTGTGGATCTCTGCACCATACAGAGACTTCTCCACACTCTGCTCTGACCAGCTGCTGCAGGAGGTGCTCCGGCTAAAAGTAAAATAGAATATTACAAGCAACACAGAGCTGCATGAAATTGCTTGCGCATAGTTTACAGATGTGATCCTTACGTGGTTGAGAGCGAGGAGGTGATTCGAGGGGAATCCCGGCCGCTGTCTGAGTTGCTGTTAGTTATATCTGCTGTGTCCTCTGCTGCTGATGCTATAGACATCAGCAGATCCTCCTCTGGTGTTGAGCACAAAAAAACACAATCAGACAAGTAAAAGGAATATTTCATCATCCAAATGACCATTTCTGACCATGACCATCAATTACTCACCCCATGTTTTCCTGAATTTAGAGAGAAAACTGATGAATGATCCATGCTGAACGAAGAATCCAAAAACCAAGAAAATTCTTGACGAAGTGTAGTGGTTTGTGTTAAACAACAGGAAAACTTTATCAAAACATCTGTTTCCAAACTGTCACATAACTCGTGCAGTATAATCCAAGTCTCATTTATCAAGTCCTACATTCAATTATTCCCAAACACATTTTTGGATTCTTCATTCAGTTTTCCTCACACGTTCAGTGTAACACTGGGTGAGTAAGTGACTTACAAATGATCATTGGGGGGTGCAGTAATCCTTTAACACACTGTATCTATCCATATTTCTAAGGATCCACTCTACTGTTAGACTGTTATTAGTTGTATGCAATGTGGGATTTTGTCTTTTGCATTGCAGTGCTGTAATTTCAGTACATTTTCGTCAAACCTACTTCTGCTTCAGGTGATTATTGTGTTTCGATGAAACCATACACTACTCACTGTGACATGACAACATAGAAATTCATGGCTGGGGACAAAAGACTTTCAGATAGCCTACATGTAGGGCTGCACAATTAATCAAATCAAATCGTCATATGACAAAGTGCAATATCCAAATTGCAAGAGCTGCAATTTTTTTTTGATAATGATAAAATGTGTCACAACATCAATTACTGAATGAAGCATAGTGGTGCTACAGAGATGCCCTGGCCTACAAGTTATATCTCAGACATAAGGGAACATGCTTGTTTGGTACAGAGTGTATTTTTGTCATTGAAAAGAAAACTCAAATGGCCGTTCCCACTAAAATTGCACCTGTTGAAATAATTTTTGGATATCATGTAGCCCTATCTACATGATTTATAAATTAAGTATTTCTGAGTTAATGCCATCAGTTTCTCACCAGACAGAGTCAGGAGCGTAGTCAGATTGTGCTTATTAGCTTGCACTAAGTTGGTGTTCATGGTGGAGACCATTTTGTCAAGGGAAGCAGAGGACTGATGAGAACTGGAAATGTCTCTTGAAAGGGGATAGGTGCAAAAGGGAGAGGAAAGAGCAGAGGGTGAGTCAGTGGAGGAGGGTGAGGTCAGGCGAAGCTGCATCAGAGCCTTTTTTCTCCTCAGCTGGCGGGTAGGGCCCAGAGTAGGAGAAGCCTTGCAGAGGTTGGGGGCTGGAGTTGTCTTGGTGAGGCCTAAAGGTAGATTGAGGAGGCTGTCACAGGATGGCCATGTCCCTATGCCCCCCTCTTGATATGGTCTGTCTGTCTTGGGTGCCAAGCCAGACGCAGCCCAAAAGTCCAGAATACTGGAGTCAAACGCTTTGCTGTCCAGTAACTGCAGAAACCAGAGGAACATTTAGCAATTAAGAAGAAAAGTAATTAATGGTTTGTGTGCGTGCATGTGTATGTGTAAGTGTGTGTGTGCTCACAGATGAGGGACTGTCCCGGACTGGTCCGGAGGAGTCTGGGAGAGACAGGAAGGAAGGGCCGGAGAACTCAGATTGGCCGAGGTAGACGTCCATCTCCACAGAGTGACAAACAGGAGAGGGAGGAACTGACATGTCCACGGTTACCTGGGTTACACACACAAACACACACACAGAGGTAAACTGGTGCCTGAACATTTCTGAGTGTACATTCGCACAAAGGTGGAAACTCTCATTGTTATTGTTTCCACATTGAGATTAGACTGTTCGGCAAATAAAGCTTGGAGGCACATCTAACAAATCACTGTAATGACCTCTAATCAGCAGCACACTGGAGGCACGCGTAAGAGCAGACAAGAACAAACCCTCTTAAAACTCCATCTGCACACCCTTTCAAAGGAATATTTCAAATCCCAAAATGACCATCTACATATCAATTACACACTCCATGTTATGGTAAATTCATGAAGAAAACTTCAATTCTCGTGCAGGCCTCAATGGTGAACAAAGAATTCAAAAATTGAGAAATTCTTTTGATGAATTATGTCATAGAGGTCCATGTTTAACAACATCAAAATCATATCAAAACATCTGTTACAAAGTGTCACACAACTTGTCTGAACAAGTCTCATTTATCTAGTCGTATGCTCAGTACTTCCCACACAGCAAGACCTTTCCAACAGGAATTTGAACATAAAGTGAAACTCATCTATGCTCTCTCACAGTCAGACTACACTGACAAAAACAGTAATTTTACCTCACTGAACATGGAAGCTGCTGGTCTAACACAGCCTTGATCAGTTAGTTTGATTGTGTTATTGTGTTACTTTGCTGAATCAAAACTAAGCCAAAGTCACACAATAAGACAAGCAAACTGATGGGTCGAGGCAGTGGTAGACCAGAAGCTCCTGTGTTTGGTGAGGTAAAATTACTGTTTTTGTCAATGAAGTCTGGCTTTGAAGAGAGCTTAGATTACATCTTACTCTCCATACACTTTGATGTCGGAAATGGCTTTCTGTGGGAAGTACTGAGGATACAACTAGATAAGTGAGACTTGGATTATACTGCACAAGTTATGTCAGACTTTGTAAAAGAATGTTTCATATAGTTTTGCTGTTGTTAAACACGGACCCTTATGACTTTAATTCATTGAGAAATTTCTCCATTTTTAGATTCTTCATTCACCATAGAGGCATGTAAGAAAAACAAACTCTTCTTCACATGTCAACATAACATGGGCTGAGTAACTAATATACAAGCAGTCATTTGGAAGTGAAGTATTCCTTTAAATAATACATCAACATGTCAATGTGTCATATGAAACTGATTTGAGTTATATGGGGACAGGGTTTCTGTCAGCAGTATAATGAAAATAAAGTAGCTTTAAGTTGTTTTAAGTTACCTGACTGTGAGCTTTTCTGAAGAGGAAACAAAGTAAACACTGGAGAGGAAACACCAGTAACGCAACAGTCATTCCTACGGCAACCGCTTCCACGTTAACCAGCAGCTGCGCTGAGATTGGTCCACTTGTGGCAAAGACACACAAATCAATTTAATCCTGTCAACTCTTCAGAACGTACTGACAGACTGGTTTATATCTGGAAAATCTCAAATTTAATACGATGAAATGACTGAAACAATAACAAAAAGAGCACAAAATAAAACACCACATTGTATTATTGATATTATATTACCTTAACCAGTATTTCATTTTTAATAAATAAGTAATTAAAAGGACTCTATCTTTATTGAAATGTTATTGAATCATTTGGAGAAAAAACACACACACAAAAAAACACTCAAAAATGCAGTAATTTCACAATTTCTACATTTTCTGACTATTGCTGCAGTATTTTTTTCATTATCATGAAATGATTTGGGCCTATAATCCACCCTACCTGTGCCCCTCTGTGCCAACAGCTCCATACCACAGAGCCCCCAGTGCCAGGTAGAGGTGCAACATGAGAGCACTGCATGTAACCCTCTGACCCCTGGTGAAACGGCTGTGAGCAGGGCGTTGCCACAGCGACAGCCACAGGTGGTGCTCAACCATCCCAAACGTCAGCTGGGAGGTGAAGACCCGTCGGAACAGAGAAAGTTCCTCTGGACCTGGAGAGTTGTCAGAAAAACACACCTCACAGCTAATTCATTAACAACAAAAAGTGAGTGTGCATGAAGTACGCTGACAGTTGAAAGTAAGTGTATGAACTTACATGAAGCAAGAACTTCCTTCTCCACTGAGCCGTTCTTGTGATTCTCCACAGAGAGCCAGTCCTCAAGCAGGAAGAAGAACATGTGGTCTGTCTGAGGGTCCCAAACCACCACATGCTGAACGTACCAGGATGGGTCCAGACCTACATTTACATATAAGATACTCATCTACATTTACATCCAGAACATAGTGCTATTCATCAATCTAGATTGTTTTGGTGTGAGTTACTGAGAATTGGAGATACAAGCTGTAGAGATGTCTGCCCTCTCTCCAATATAGTGGAACTAGATGACACTCTGCTTGTGGTGCTCAAATCACCAAAAAAGTACATTTGAGAAACTCAACAGCAATGTCTCTTTCCAGAAATCATGAACTGGTTGCTCAAGAAAATCCACAGACCTTGTTGTGAGCAGTTCATTTAGAATCTTTTGTCTTTCTACCAAACTACACCCATATCATCGCTTAGAAGGAAGAGTGCATCTACTCATGGATGAGAGGCTCGTGCTTGTGACACCACAAGATGTAGCTGACCTGTAATGTAAGCTAGCTCGGTGGTGCTAGGTGAGCTAGCAGTAGATGCATGCTTCCTTCTGTATGGTGATATAGTTAGTGGGTGAATTTCAGTGGAAAGAAAATAGTTCCTACATGAAACTGCTCACAACAAGATCTGTGGATTATCTTGGGTAACCAGATCATGATATCTGGAAAGAGACATTGCTGTTGAGGTGCTTTGAGCACCACAAGCCGAGTGCCATTGAGTTCCCTTATATTGGAGAGAAGGCAGATATCTCTACAGCTGATATCTCCAACAATTGGCAACTCACACCAAAACAATCTAGATTGATGGAGAGCATCACAGGTAAGAGGAAAAATATGTATTTTTGGTTTTACGGTGAACCGCCTCTTTAAAATTTTATCTTTATTTGGAAAAATTAACCAAAGATTTGGGACTGACTCAAAATGTTACTCTAAAAATGTCCTACATTAATTGATTGTATTTGGTATTGATCCCATAGGAGATTATATGGTAAAAAAAAAAGAGTTGAAACAAAACCAATTATTTATTTATATATTCCCATGCACCTGTGTTATCATGCCAGATTCGAATTTTCCAAACTTCTCCCAGGTTTTCATCCGTCTCCAGGTGAAACTGGTCCAGACTACCACGCTGAAATGCTCCATCCCTCTGCAGATGGCGAGAGCCACTCTTGTTCACTCCATACAGGCTGATGCCAACATGTGCTGTGGTACCTGATGGGCACATTAATCATTTCCATCATATATAATTTCATAAATTCAAACATGAAAATGCTTTCATTACTTATATTTTTGTCTTCATTTTTCATTTCTACATGGTATTGACTTGTCCTTGGCTGACCTGCTCCCCGCCTCCAGCCGGTCTTGACCAGCACTCTGTAGTGGTACAGCCCTGGTCTGCCACACAGAGGGACCTGGCTCAGTCTTAAGCTGTCCAAATGGTCCAGTTTATGGGCAATGAGTCCCACCAGCAGGTGAATCAGAACCAGGACAGCACACACAATCCCCACCACCATGTTACGCATGGGACCGCCTGGCTGCACAGATAAGACACAGATGAAGGCAGAGGGGTAAAAGCCTGTTGATGACTATCCTCTCACTAATCCTGACTTTGCATTTGGGGAATTCAGAATATATGCACAAAATAACAGATGTAATTCTTTGTGTTCTCACATACCGGTGGCAACAGAACAACGACCCCAGGGTGAACAAACAAACTGGCCCCAAACATGGTGAGGTGCTGGGTGAGACAATGTGCTGCATGGAGTGTGCTGCCCTCCAGTGGCTGTAGTCCCTCACTGCTCCAACGCCTCTCCTTCACACTGTAGTACTGGCACAGAGAGCTGAACACACACACCGACACATGGACAGGACCGCCGTCGACCAAAGACGAGGTCAGGTTGACGGAGAGAGGTTTATCTGTCCCGTCCAAACTGTCGAGGAAGAAAATTCAGTCATTCTTCTTTACTCAGCTAAATGAGCAGTCGGACAGAGCACTGAGTTACAGAAAAGAGCGTGACTCACAGTGGAGACAGAAATGTGGTTTCCTCTGTGGAGGTGGTCGGAGCAGAGAGGGTGAGAGCCCACTCTCTCACTAGGGAATCCTGGGATGCATTAGTCCCTGGCACCGTAGAACTCACTTCTATCTTGACATGTCCCAGACTCACTGGAGTAGCTCCTAGATATGCATAATGCAGTTTGAAAACAGCCTTCCTAATTTATAATTCATGCATGAACTCACAGATATACAGTAAGGTTAATTAATAATCATGTAGGCGCTGCATGATCGACATTAAAGATAGTTCCCTCTCATTGCTTAACAGATGATTTCAGACATCCTGAAATGTCATGTGTATACCACATCTTCCAAGAAACTGCCACAGCCACTGACATTCAGTCACGAAAATGAATTCATACATTAAGTCTGTTGGTTATTACCTTGTTTAAGATGAGGTAAGGGACTGCACTAAAATATTTTAAACTCAACTCTCAACCTAATTGCCAGAAGAAAATGTTGGAATGTAAGTTTCTGGAAACCACAAATACATTTGTACATTTCATACATGTAATATCAGTTATTCTAACATGACATAGTATATGAGTTGACTGTATTATCGGGAGGTGGAGGGGATGGTAGATGGTTTGACAAAGTGAGACACCTGCCAAGCTGCAGACCACTGTTTGAGACCGATTGTGATTTAGAGTCATTGATGTGTTTGTAGTGGCTTTTTAGGCGCCAAGCGTGAGTGCTTTGTAGCAACCCACTACTGCTTTTCCAGCCATGAAAGTGCCATGAAAAGAGGCTGTTTTTTTTACAGAAACCTCACTGCGTTTCCTGCTGGCATAGCGGCACAAACAGCAACTGTTTTTTTACAGCAACATTGCTGTGTTTCCTGCCTGGATAGTGCCAAGTAAAGCAGTTGTTATTTACAGAAACATCACTGCATTTCCTGCCAGGATAATGCCATGAAAAGTGGTTGTTTTTTATTGAAGCATCACTGCTTTTCTAGCCAGGATAGTGCTAAGAAAAGTTATTAGTTATTTACAGAATCATTGTTGTGTTTCCTGCTGGGAATAAAAAGGGTGTTTTTACAAAGACATTCCTGTTTTTTCTGCCAGGTGCCCCCCTGTTTGTGCCCCCAAAACCAGGTGTTTTTTAATCAAAACATGATCCATTCCTAACCATAACCAAGTGTTTTTTTTTCTACAAACTGAACCACATGTTAAACACAGCAATGTTGAAATGTAGTTTCAACATATCTGCCACATAATAATGTCCAAATGTATCTGTGGTTTGCAGAAACTTAAAATGGCAACATTGTTTCTGGCAATGTGGTTGGAATTCTTGTTATGTTTATTAAAAAGACAGTTTACAAGCTGATATATTTTTATTCTAAATTGATTCTTAAAATGTATGACATTTACTGCCCTCCAGTGGTAGTAAGTTTCCGTTGTGACCAGCTTTTTTTTTTTCTTTAAATTAAACTAAAAGCAACAGTGATCCATTAAAAATAATATATCATATGACTGTATGAAAACTGGTAACTCATGATGAGCTACAGGGAACAACATCAGGCTCACCTCACACCTATCAAAGTTTTTTAGTGAGTTTCAGCTTATTGTTTAGCAGTCCAGCCAGCAACTTGACTGTTTTGGTTCACTCTCAGCACCCTCATTGCATTGTATTTGGCTGCATTAGGCAGCTGTTTCAGGGAAAAAGTAAAGAAAAAATAGACTAAACACTAGCTGCGCAGCACCAAACAGCAGACAGATAGTTACTGACTAGTTGGTGAACGTAGCAAAGCATTTAGCATCTTGAAGCGCCAGATATTTTTTAGTTAAGAGAGACCAAAAACAGAGCTAAAAGAATACTGAATAATAGAAATATTGTCACATATGTTAAAATCACAAAAACAAAACAACAACCAAAACAAAAAATGAAACAAAAAGAAAAACAGTGAAATTCTGCTGCAGCATTCATTGGCCACGTGGGGGCAGTAGAACACTCACTGACATAAGTCATTGATTTGTTAAAGGGATAGTGCACCCAAAAAATGAAAATTCAGCCATTATCTACTCACCCATATGCCGACGGAGGCCCTGGTGAAGTTTTAGAGTCCTCACATCCCTTGCAGAGATCGGCGGGGGGAGCGGCTAGCACACCTAATGGCAGACGGCGCCCCCAAAAATAACTCCAAAATGCTCATCTGTAGTGATCCAAGTGTCCTGAAGCCCCAACATAAAAAGTTGTTTGGAAAAACGTCATATGAACTCTGTTTTTAGCCTCACTGTAGCCTGTAGCTCTGACTGCTTCTCTGTGCTCCGCACTCACGTGTGCGCACTCAGGGTGATTGGTGATGCACGGTCTCTGAAGAGCAACACTCTCGTCAGTACTGATGTCCAGATTCTCAAGTGCAGGCATCGCCAATTCCCAGTCTGAGCAGCAAAGACTTTCCTCATCCGTTGGCATTGCTTTGCATTTGAAACAATTACACCACCAGGTTTCCAGTGCTCGACTCCAGTATTCTGTGGCTGGCTGAGGGTTAGGCTCATGAGCTCCAGCGGCTGCTTCATCCAGTAGCCTGAGTTCCATCCGTATGCTCGGGCTCAAAGAAATACAGCTCAACAAAGAAATGCTGTTCCTCCTCAGTTTCAAAGTCTACAGACATGTTGGGCTGTCCTATGCTAAAAGGCCGTAGTGCAAATTATCTTTTAGCTACTGTGGTTACTGTTGTCTCTCCCTGCGGTGCACGTGTCACGTGATGTAAACACGGGTAAGCAAAGCTCATGCTTTCACTGGTCTCGCGCAGGCGCGCACACGTGAACGCGGAGCACAGAGAAACAATCAGAGCTACAGGCTACAGTGAGGCTAAAAACAGAGTTCAAATTACGTTTTTCGAAAAACAACTTTTTATGTCGGGGCTTCAGGACACTTGGATCACTACGGATGAGCACGTTGGAGATAATTTGTGGTTTCTTGGACGTTAGTCTGGGGCACCGTCAGCCATAAGGTGTGCTAGCTGCTCCCCCCGCCGATCTCTGCAAGGGATGTGAGGACTCTAAAACTTCACTTGAGCCTCCGTCGGCATATGGGTGAGTAGATAATGGCTGAATTTTCATTTTTGGGTGCACTATCCCTTTAAGTCAAATGTGTCAGGCAATGGGTGCCTACTTACACAGCAAGAAGACAACTGAGCAGCTTTTGCATTCATTTGAAGCTGTGAATGTTATGTCCAGTATTCACTGTCCTTTGAGCTCTTTTTTTCTTCTCCACCAACTCCTGAAATATCCGGATCTTTGTGAGATGCTTCACTTTATATACCCTCTAATTAGCCGCTAACTTTATCTGCCTGGTGTTTGGGGCTGGACAGGTAGTGTGCTGTGGGTTATTAAAACATCCTTCTGCTACCACTGGAAACAAGGATTTTGAGAGTGGCAAAACTTAACCAAACCAGTAAAGTTATGGGGCATAAAACCAAATAATAGACACAACGGCAGACAGTAATGCCTCAGTTTTCTAAAAACCCCCCCAAGAACTTAGGTCATGAGCAGTGGTGTGCATGGGGGGGTGGGGGTGGAAAAACGCTCGCTAAAGTGCCCTCCTGGGAGCCAAATGCGTGCTAAAGTGCTCTGCTGGGAGTCAAATGCGTGCTAAAGTGCCCTCCTGGGAGCCAAAATGCGCGCTAAAGTGCCCTCCTGGGAGCCAAATGCGTGCTAAAGTGCTCTGCTGGGAGCCAAATGCGTGCTAAAGTGCCCTCCTGAGAGCCAAAATAGGCGATAAAGTGCCCTCCTGGGAGCCAAAATGCGTGCTAAAGTGCCCCCTGGGAGCCAAAATGCACGCTAAAGTGCCCTCCTGGGAGCCAAAATGCACGCTAAAGTGCCCTCCTGGGAGCCAAAATACGCACTAAAGTGCCCTCTTGGGAGCCAAAATGTGTGCTAAAGTGCCCTCCTGGGAGCCAAATGCGTGCTAAAGTGCTCTGCTGGGAGTCAAATGCGTGCTAAAGTGCCCTCCTGGGAGCCAAAATGCGCGCTAAAGTGCCCTCCTGGGAGCCAAATGCGTGCTAAAGTGCTCTGCTGGGAGCCAAATGCGTGCTAAAGTGCCCTCCTGAGAGCCAAAATAGGCGTTAAAGTGCCCTCCTGGGAGCCAAAATGCGTGCTAAAGTGCCCCCTGGGAGCCAAAATGCACGCTAAAGTGCCCTCCTGGGAGCCAAAATACGCGCTAAAGTGCCCTCTTGGGAGCCAAAATGTGTGCTAAAGTGCCCTCCTGGGAGCCAAAATGCGCGCTCAAGTGCCCTTTTTTTTCTTTTTGCCCCTGCCCTTCAAAAAGTCTGAGCACGCCACTGGTCATGAGTTATTAGAAAGATACAATTACAAAGACATTCTACATATGGATTTTAAATAGATACAACTTGGCTCTGTACTCAACAAAGGGGGTCCAGAAGTGCATAGCAAAATAAAAATATAAGCCATTAAGGTCAAATGGTTATTGAAAAGTTTAAAATCTGGAAAAAAAAACAGAACAGGTCCAGAAAAAGAAAGTACTGTACCTGGGTCCAAGCTGAAGTTGAAGACTATATATAAACCTGCGTTTTCATCCAGTCCATCCACAGCTTTGACTGTGAGGTTCAACCGTCCTTCAGTGGGGAGCATCACAGTAAGACATGTCCCATTCCCAGCTTCACCTACCCTCCCATCTCCACCCCCAGTGTCTTGTCCCACAGGGTATTTGTTGGGCAGAGTAACCCGTATGGCCTGTTCAGGGTCTAGATCCTGGATGTGTATGGGTTGGCCCTGAGGCGTGGTGAGCTCCATGGCCACCAGAGCAGTGGAGATTGGAGGGTCGGCTGCAGTTAGCAACGGGTTGGATCCCAACTCTGCATCCATATCAAACAGCAGCTGCACCACCTCAGACTTCTGACTCTTCAGGTGAGCAGTGAGGGAGGTGGGGATATGAAACTGACATGAGCGAGAACTCTTGGATTCGTCAACTGACTGAGAGGGGACGATCTGGTTTTGGTTGGACTGGTGAGTGCAGAGGAGGTCGGAAGGGTCTCCATGGTAACCAACTGTGTTGACATAATCGGTGGAGAGCGAAAGGGGCACCTCTCCATGAACACGTGAATGCATCAGAGAGTGCATCAGGGCCCTTGCGTGACCCAGCGCTGACAGAGCGATTGCGGAAGCTGACTGCAGAGTGCTTGAGTAGACTGGGTGAGAACTGGAAGCAGACTCAGATACAGCTGCCAGGGTGCTACCTAAAAACACAGAGAATATCGAATATTCATCCATTTGATAAAGTTTACCATCAGCACATGACAGTTTCACACAGGAGATGGTGGTTGGTCAGCACCTATGATATTAAGGATGTTCTGTCCTGTTTCCACAACTGACAGAACACCAGGACTCATCTGTTCCTCCATGACATGGATCATCTTCCCCACAGCTTCCAGAACCTTCTCCTGGCACTTTTCACATAAGAATTCACTTGGAACAGCCTCGGGAAAACAAAGAAAATTAAGACTTGAAAGATTTGAAAAAGAGGTAAATTTTGACAATTATGATTACGCTTTTTTGTTGTTGTCTTTTTGGTCTGGTTGTGTGGCTGTGTTTGCATGACTTATTGTGTGCAGAATCTCTCAATGTTTGAGATGCTACAACTGTTTCATATGAAGCATTTCCATGGTTACTGATTCCATGTTAAATATTTTTGGGCTGTGAGTAATGAGGAAACAAATTAGGCAGTTACTTACAGTGGACTGTGACAATGCTGAGCTAATCTGATCAACATCAAGTAAGGAGGACACAGGGAGAGAAGCCAGGGCTTGGGTCACATTTTCCCGAATCTCCCTCCTGTCCATGACCTCCCTGGCAGTCCGTCCAGACTCCATCTGTGGACAGTTGGGTGAAACTGATAGTCCATATTCAGAGCAAATCGGAATCTTTTAAGATTTTGCGCTAATGATCTTCAGTTATTCTGTTACAGTTATTCAGAATCAGTTTAAAGTGTCATTTCATCCAGTGGCAATTGAGATATGATACTGATTTGGTGCCCAGTAGGTCACCTGGTAGGGTGGGTGCCCATCACATGCCAAGGTGCACCGCGGCAACCCAGGTTCAGTTCCAACTTGCAGCCCTTTGCTTCAAGTCGTTCTCTCTCTCCCTCTTTTACTCTTAAGCTGTCCTATCAAATAAAGCCAAAGTCAGAAAAAGAGAGATATGATACTGACCTGATTGAGTTGGCTGGTGAGGGCAATGGAATAAGGAATAATCTCTTGAGGGTTGCCATGTTGGACCAAAGCCCACAGCTCTGTCTGGCTTTTGTTTCTGAGCCACTGTCTGGCAACTTCGTCCCTTACAGGAGTTTCAACTGCCAGCGTTCTGTAGAAGGGAGCAATCAGGAAAAAATATGACAAAGACATCAGGCACTAAATGACTTTTCTAACCTTTAAAGCTATATTATGCAGGACTTGCTAGTTACTGTCTGTTAACGGCATCACCTTCACTGGTGAAAGCCTACTCCAGATTAACACTTGTTTTGAAATGAGCTTTATCTGCTTAGCGTTTCACCTTGCTTTACTTGCATTTTTTTTTTGCACTGTGTATCTTTCTCTTGGATGTTGTTTGCCTACGGTCTGGCATCTGGTCACTAACTCACCTGCCTGCTGTGTCCAGAGATGTCTTGACCAGAGCAAAATAAGAAGAAAATCAGAAAATACAGGCAGAGGGAAGGGTCTCTGCAGATAGATACAGCAGCAGTTCATAAATGATGAGAGGGATTACTTTTATACGAGTCTACTCATTGTTTTTTAGGCAAATCCTGCACAGTTAACCTTTATCTAAATTATAAAATGTGGTAGAAGGTGTTGCACATAACAACAAACAGAATTGTGATGTTTATTTTGCTACATCAAATCCTGATAGCTTACCTGTTCAGAGCAATGACCTTTGCCCCTACATGGTCCTCTACCAGCAATGTAACTGTGATAACTGATGTGCTTCTTTCTTGCCCAGGACTTCCCACTGGAACCACGCTGCCAAATGTTGAACGAGTACCCCTAGGGTACATGAAAGATAAAGACCTCAAGTTTGACAGGAAGCAAATCCAAACCCTATGTCTTAAAGGTCTAGTGTGTAGGATTTAATGGCAAAGCCAGTGTTTGGCTTGGTCATTCTGGGCTACTGTAGAAACAACATGGTGGACTCTATTGCAAACAAACATAATTATGAAGATTATATGGCATTACAATTCTGCCAATAGATGTACCTAAATTCTACACACTGAATCTGTATTGCAGTTTTTAACATACATGTAATGATCACACTTGCTTGCCTATTAGTAGGTGTAAGTTGAGGCCTGTATTCACCTGTACAGAGTGAGCAGTGGGCACTTTGTACCAGTGGGCTGGCATGGTGCTACTTGGAAGGTATAGATCAGCTGAGAGGCCCTGCTATCATCATATTTCCACCCTGCCAAAAGACAAATTACTATCAAGAGACTTGTCAAATCAGAAGTGCCTGCTGGTTTTTCACCATTGAAACTGACAAAACTATCTATGCAAACTAAATTTAGTAACACTTCTACTAAGACCACATTGTTACCTGAGCAGTTGAAGGTGACCACCGTCTCCAGCAGATGTATATCTGACTCTGGACTGAGATCACACAGACCTCCGTGTGGCGGATTGTTAGGTAGTATCGTCAGGCCTGCGCTGCCCCACTGCCCTCTGTTGGGCTGGGATACATTAAGAGTGAAGGTATACCTGTGTACTGGCTGCAGGACACCTGAACGCACCACCAAGTTAGGAGCATGTCTCCCTGTAGAGGTGGCAACTTTGTCAAGGTCAAGGGTCCTGCCAGTCTGGTCCTCAGCACTCCATTTGTACTGTGAGAAGACACATACATGAATCACACTAATTCTGAATGTTATATTGTCTGAATATATATTTATATTTCTTGGTTGCAAATAACAAACCGTTGTACTGTTCATTTATCCACCTAATTAAGCATGGCTGAGACTGAATATAGATTAATTCATTAATAAATTCATTAATTCATTCTCTAAGCAGATGAACATCAAAATTAAAAAGATAATGGTTAACGGCTGAGACTGCAGCAGTCAAAGCTCTGTGTGATGACTTTTTCTTTCCATTTGTACTGTCGGGACATTTCATGGGCCTCTTTTTTAAATGTTTTGCCCTACGCTATGATTTTGACCTTTACTTTCAATATCTGCATTTTCTTTGAGACCAATATTTAACAGTCACAAACATTGGTGAAATTTCAGTTACTTTAAAAATGACTTTACATGTAACCTTAAAGTATATCCGAATCGTTACCTGAGCATTGTCGTCACACTGTCCACATTGTCCTGAGAGGATGATGGGGCTGCTGTAACTAATGTGGTGAGGGGAGGACAGGACAGAGCAGGAAACACACTCCACAATCACAGGAAGCACAGGAGCTTCACACACTGTCACCTAAAGATAAGAGACAGAGGTACATGTGATAAGTGTCTTGTTCGACTAAATTTGTTGGTTTGCCCATGGTAAATTCTTTCATAATTGCCCAAGTCTCCAAACCTATTCCTATTTGCAAGAGATATTTGATGTAATTTCATATACCTTTTCTCAACTGAACTGCGAATACAAGAAAAAGACAGTAAAAGTGTATTCTAAAGTGATAAAGCATGCTTTTGTGTTAGATTATGCGTAATACTCACTGTCTGGTTGACAGAGGCAGGTGTCCTCCCTGCTTTGTGCACAGTGAGGGTGAAAATGTAAACTGTGCCCGGGTGCAACTTAGTGCTGAGTACAGTCATTTTCCTGCTGTTACTCCCCTCAGGCGGTTTTACAAAATGAGACTCTGTGGAGTTCTGAAAATACAAACATCCAGGTGTTAGTATCACCTACGTAGAGCTCAAGTGGGGAGATAACTGTGTATCAAAAAAAAAAAAATCTTAAAAATCTTACACTTCCTTATCCAACTCATAATAACTACACAAAAGCTGCTGTAACATCAAGAGGACTTTACCACTGTCATGAAGGTCCAATGGTACTGCAGTGCATCATCGACTCCTGGTTCTACATCAGGGTCTTGAGATTCAGATCCATCCAGGACGAGGTCACTGAGGCTGGGCCACAGTCTGTATGATCCTCCCTTAATGACAGCTACCAGTGGAGAGTGGACCACTGTAACACTAGTTTTTTGTTGGACAAGTAGAGGAGTTCCCTCAAGTGAAATGGTAAATACCAAGCAATACTGTCCTATATCAAGAGTATGCTTCGGGAGTAAGAGAAGAGGTGAAGATGCATCTTCCTGATTTCTAGGAATAACTTTGTCATCAGGGAAGTTGGTACAATCTGACTCTTTGAGTATCTTCCATAGGTACGTCGCTTTGTAGGCAGAGCAGTTAATGTCCACGCTTGCTTCAAAGAAACTTGGTCTAGACCTGAAGATCGTAGACTGGCTCTGGACAAGAGAAGCTTGGGGGGTTGAACATTGGAGCTCCTCCACCTCCACGTGTAGCTGTGTAGACACTTGGCTGACACTGTTGAGAACTTGGACCATCATACTATATTTCCCAGGAGTATGATAAGTATGATTGACTGTGCTTAAATCTGTCGTCAGTGCCTCAGTTGAGTCTCCAAAGTCCCAGTGGAATCTGGGATTGCTCCCTCTAATCACTTTTACAGAAAACCTGACAGCATGTCCAATGAATATTCGTCCTGAATGACAAACAAGCTTGACTTTCTTAACAGGCCACTGAACTGTGGCAGTATCATTTACCGTCTTGGAGCAGATTCCATTGGTGGCGAGCACGCTAACAGACAATGAACCACTCTCTGGTGGGGTAAAGAGCACTTCTTGTCCCATGAGCCATGTGGGCTCAAACCCCTTCAACTGAAACATCCAAGTGTATTTGACTGGAAGTCCACTTTCAACTTCTGCCTTGAACTGGATCGCTTTCAGAGCCTCTAGAGTAGCCAAACAACAATGCACAAGTCGCAAACCTTGAATATGCTCAGTAACTAGAATGTCTGAAGAAACCTCGACACTACCGACCTGGTTCCAAGCCTTCACTGTAACTAGATGCGTCCCTGCTGGAAGGCTTGATGTGGTGAACCACCCTTCCAGAATGCCCTGACTATGAATCCAGTCTTTGTTCCTAAATGTTATAACAAAGCTTACATTGCTTCCTTTGGAGATTGTTGGAATAAAGGTAACTGCTTCCTTGGTGCAAACAGATGACTTGGAAATGTTCAGCATTAGACCTTTGATTGCGTCCTCAACTGTGACACTGTGTGAAACCATCTGCCAATTTATCCCATTGGAGACATTCAAAGACACCTGATAGATGCCTGCACTTGGAAAAGTGTAGATACAGGTCTGATTAGTAGCACTAAAAGGCATAGCACCTCTAACTTTCCAGTTCCAGTGCAGATCACTACCCCTCTGAATACGCCCATGGAGGTAAACGGCAGCACTTGTGGTGACATAAAATGGATGCTTCTTTCCTTCAATTTCAAAGTCCACCTTTTGGACCTCCTCCTGAACATTAAACTCTGTGGTGACATTGCTGTGGCTGAGCACATTCTGAACTGAAACTTTGACAAGACAATGTCCAACACTTGTAAATGTGTGGAGAAGAAAGGGCATGTGTGTTTGTAGGGGTGAAAGATCAGACGTCACATACCAAAGGTACTGTAAGTCTGACCCAGTAACCACGGACACAGAGATATTCACTAATTTCCCTGATGCCACAATGTTTGATTGTGTTGTAATGTGTGCACCTGTTACACGTTGTACTGCCTCTAAAGAAATAATGCTTTTGGCCTCACCCAACTTGTTCAAAGCTCTTAGCTGAACTGAAATCCTGCCGGGAGCTTCAGCTACAATATGAAAAAGCTCTCCATCACCAGTAATTTGCTGGTTTATTCCGCTCTGTGACACAAGCCAGTGATAAGTGACATTGGAGCCCTTGGTGATTGAAGCAATAAACATCAGTTCCTCTTGTGTCAGTACATATTTCGTGTTTGTCATGTTTTGACATGCAATCTGAAGACCCTCTATTCTTTCAAAGACCTCAATTAAAATAGATGCCTCCTTTCTACTCACCAAGTTCTGTGCTATAACTCTCACTTGATACACTCCTGCTTTCAGGAAAGCAAACCTAAACTGATAAGTCCCCTGTTTGGTTGAGGTCATACCATCCACAGTCCAGTAATAGTTGGTGCTACTGATGGCACTGCTAATTGCTGAGATAAGAGTTTCTTCTCCTACTACAGCATACGGCTGATTCGTATGAAGTGAAAGGTCTGAAATAGACGGTAAAACGTTAACTTTAAGGGTCACAGAATCACGGCTAACAGCATTAAATGCTGTGGCAGTGACTGTGAACTGACCCGTCGAGGTAAACATGTGTGACGTGTTTAACTTCTGCTCCACCAGGGATCCATCTCCAAAATCCCACAGCACTGAAACATTACTGCCAGTGCAACTAGCAACCCAAAATGATGCTAACGTATTGACTGTCAGTGTGCCACTTTGGCTATCATGTGCCACAGACAGCTTACTTACAGGGTTCTGAATGATGATACGAGCGCTGGCTGTTTTGTTGTTGACTTTGTTACTTGCTGTTACTGATACCTCTTCAACACCTTCATCTTTAAAGATAAAACACTTGCGAGTGTTTTCTGTCACAGCAGTGAGACCAGAGGGGCTGATAAACCACTTAAATTGGTAACCTTTCATCTGCACAGGAGAAACTAACACCCTGAGGCATACCTCTTCTCCTACTGCCACTACTTCCTGTGATGACTGCACTGTCATGTTGGTTATTGGGGCTTCAACACAGATAGTCGTATTAAATAATACAGATGTAATAGAACTAAACACAGTCAGAATTACATGAAAAACTCCTTGGCTATGAAATTTGTGCATGGCCGTTGACTGCCCCCTCACTTCAGTCAGAGGTGAACCATCTCCAAACAGCCAATGGAAAGTCAAATTGGATATGTTCCCACTCACCAGAGCAGTAAATGGTATGTCTTTTCCACTCATGACACATTCTGTAGGGAGAACTCTGCTAACAGTCAACTTATAGACCTCTACACTCATAGACTGATGAGCTTGGCTGACAGAATTCCAGACAGTTAGATTGACTGTATAGATCCCTGGTGACTTATAGATGTGGGAGATGGTACCATCTGTGAGGTATCCCTGAAGGGCCCCATCACCAAAGTCAAATTTCCACATGAGACTCGTACCAGTGGCCACTGTAGCTCTGAAATCTGTAGCAGAGCCAAGTTCACTGGGTCCATCGTAGCTGACCATCAATCCTGAGATTTCCTCCATAACTTCCACCATGAGCCAGGCAGTCAGGACTGTAAGAGTGTTGTTGGCACACACTGTGACATTATAAACTCCTGCAGATGTAAAAGTGTGGTTGACTTTATGGTGGACGCCTTGGACTGCTTCAGAGCCATCGCCAAAGTCCCATGTGTAGATGATAGCATAGGTGGAGGGCTCTGCAGAAGCTTCCAGAAGGAGAGCCTGTTTGACGAGGGGCACCGGAAGGGAAGAGGAAATGAGGAGGTGATTTAATTGTGGGCGGACACTTATCTTCATGGATGCTTCAGTGTTGTCATATTGGTTGGAGACTTGGACATGAAGTGTGTAGTCATCTGCATAAAACAAAGATGCAGTGAAAATGATTTTACCTTGATGGACTGAATAATAAGAACAAAGCACATTTTCTACCAGTTTCATTCTTGTCACCAAATGTCACCAAAATAAGGGATGTTCCAATTCTACGTTAAGTGGGCTTTTAAGAACCCAACTTTAATTTTAGGGACAAATACACACAGAACATAAATTATATGGAAATTTAGAGAGTTCAGACCTCCCCAAATTCAAATGTCCTATCTTGCAATGTTAAAAAAAGGGAAAACAATTTGTGTCCACCCTGTGATATGCATTTTCTCTAACTTTAATGGGCTCTTTCTTGGCCCATGCTACACCCTTGCACCAAGCTTCTCAAAAACCAGGCCAGTATGTTTTTCATAATCCTGCTGACAAACAAACAAACCAACCGAAGACGTAACCTCCTTAGCGGGGGTAATGAGGGTGAAAAAGGTCTGCAAATGATACATGGGTCTCTGTCAAAATAGCATAAAAAAGACAGTACCAGCCAACCCAAAATATTAGCAAAAGGTTAATTTGATGCTCTTGTAACTTGCTGTATCTTTAAAGCAGTAATTAACTTGCATTAATTGACTTTTTGGCCACTTGAAGAGGCAGGAGAAATAAGATGTAAAAACAAAACTGTCATATAATCACCTCATAAAGTTAATACAGTGATCTTGTTAACACATTACACATCCAGCAGACACGAAACAAAATAAGCATGAATTTGTTTCTGTTCACCCAATTAAGTCCAAAGTTCAAGCTTCTCTGGTTTCTTTTGCACCAACTCCTTAGGGGAAATAAATGGCTGCTAAATGCTCAGCTATGTTTGCTATTGCTATTGTTATTTTGTCTGTTGTTTGGTGCTAGGCATGTAGCATGCAGTGGGTTTTCCCCTCTCACTTTACGTGTGGTCATTTAATTTTATGTTGTGTGTAAAAATATTGGTAAATGCAGCTTCAATAGTTTTTGTGAGTGTGTTTACCTGGGATGGAAAAGGTATAGTTCACTGAGTCCTGGACATACACTTGCTTCCCTCCTCCCTCCATAAGCCCTTCCATGGTGTGACATGGAGCAGACTGGCTGTGGAACACCTTGCTACTGCCATCCCCAAAATCCCATCTACACGATATATACCACATGGAAATTTAGAATAAACACACAAAACATTACTTTAGAAATACATTTTAAGAGGTAGTCTTTATTTTAAAGTCAGGGGAATAAAGCATGCCATCCCAGTGGTTGTCTCTGAGCATTTCTGAGGGCTATATATGAAAATGCAATACCTTACCTGAAAGTGACAGGCATTGAGATATCCACTTTGACCCTGAGGGTGTAGAGGTGTGTAGCACCCACAGCTATGACCTCCCTGACTAACAGGAACTCTGGCTCAGCCATTGGGGTCATTTCATCAGCAGACAGGAGGATTTCTTGACTCTGAGTGCTCACAGGGTTGGAGGCTGTCACCTAACAGAAAATAACTGGTTACTTAAAAAGAAAGTAACTGAAAAATGTAACATTACAGAGAGAAATAATGTATCTTACCTTGAGCTTATACTTAGCAGGTTTCTTGAACACCACACTATAAGATTCTCCCTCATGGGCAAACTTCTCCAGGTCGTCAATCACCCACATGAATTTTACTGAGGAACCGCTCTCCACTTTGGCTATAAATGACTACAATGTAAAAACAAACATGAAAAAGATACCAGTATCAGAAAATTTATATTCAAACTACAGTTTAATGCATGTTGGTGTCACAATAAAGTGGTTGTTTGAAGACCTACTACAAATGTTGTTGGAGTTTTGACCTCTTCATTGTTAACCACGTTCACCATTTTTGATTAGCGTGTTAGCATGCTAACACTTGCTAATTATAACTAAGCCAACCCGATCGGTAGAATAAATCTTGGCATTGTACGTTTCTGCAAACCACGGATATGTAATATTTGTACATTTTTATGTAGTGAATACAGTTACCTTTTTTTTTACCTTTTAACAACACTGTGGTCAACATGTGGTTATGTTTAGGCACACAAAACAATTTGCTATAATTAGGAAAACTTTTGTTGTCTGCTGGTCTGTGGTGGTCTGCAGCTTGGCAGCCATCTCGCCTAGGTGTCATATACATGAAATAATTACTGTCACTTTAACAATGTTGATATTATATGTATGAAATGTACAAATGTAGTGTATTCATGGTTTGCAGAAACATACAAAGGCAACGTTTTCTTCTGGTGACTGGGCTGAAGTAATCACCAAGTACAGCAGAACCTGATGAGAATGTCTTTAGTTTTGAGGCATTTGTCCATAAACCAAAGTACTGGATATATGGAAATTTTGACCAGATGATGGCGCTACACAGAAAGTAAGGGGATCACCAAAGTTTTTATATATTACCCTGTTGGGAATATAAATGCGAATGTCTGTACCAAATCTCACAGAAATCCATCCAGTAATTATCAAGACATTTCACTGGATACCACACATATCAACCTCTTGGTGCCACTAGAGAAATAATGATACATCCTCTGGGAACCATGAATGTCCGTACTCAATGTTTTGCCAGTCCATCAAGAAGATGTGGATTATTTCAAATGATAATTGATAAATTTGATCTCCTGGTGTCAATAGGTGAAAAGTCTCCAAAATCATTAAGGTTCATCCTCTGAGGGCCTTGAATGTCTGTACAGAATTCAAATGGCAATCAGTCCAGTAGTTAAGTCATTTCAGTTTGAACCAAAGTGGTGGACTGACCGGTTGGCTTGCCATCTCTATAGCTACACTGCTAACATGTCCAATAAAAATATTTGATTAAATAAGGGGAATGTGTTTGCTCTAAATTCATTTTTGCAGTCTCACCTGTGGAGCGTCTATGAGAGTTCTCCAGCATCCATGTGGCTCAACACTAAGCACCGTGACTGCTTCGTAGCCAAAAACCCTCACACTCACACTCCGAGAGCTTACTGCATCCATCACGCTGATGTTCAGTGTTTGAACTCCCACTAAGGGCAACACCAGGGTCACAGAGGAGAACCAGGCATCATGGGACTGTCTCTTACAGCCAAGCACAGACTGAGCCATCTCTCTGGGGCAAGATGGAAAAAAGGGGACCCCAGTCTGAAGAACTGGGGCTGACCATGAGCTGCTGGCTTTCTCCCCAGACAGGACCTTGACAACAATTAGTGTTGGGACGTTGACTTGGACATGAATCTGGTTCTTTTCATCTGGCACGGGGTGGATGACGTTAAGCCCAAAATTAGATCTCAGACTCTGAGTTGTCAGGGCCCAAATATCTGGAGCTGTGGTTGTCTCTCTGTTGGTGAAGCCAAAGTTATAATCATGCTCAGTACCTCTGTGTAAATTGTCCAAATACAGCATCCTCAGATTACACACCACTCCGTCCACCCACTGGCCTCCCTGGGGTAGAGAAGTGAGGCCTCCCTCCCACCAGCCTCCCCATTCCGTCCTCCTAAGGGACATGTAAGTCTGGCGCCACGGAGAGTTTAGAGAAGCTTCACTGTTCAGGCAATGGAGGAATGTTCCAGGGTCGCGAGTGTGTTGTATAGCCACAATATCATCAGGGTACACCATGATCGCTCGATCTGGAAGAAGCAACTGACAACAAAAAAAAAAGCAGGAAATAGTGTAAGGAGTCTATTTTTGATATTGTAATCAAACACCAAAGGTCCATAACTGCTGTAGGTCAACTCACACTTATAGTTTTTAAATCAGAGCTCGGGTTAACGCTCAGAGGCAGGTCAGCCACCAGGTGGTAGAAGGGTGGTATTGCAAGGTATCTGGGCGGTAAGGTAAAGCCACGGCCTTCTGCTGCAGAGTCGTAGGGGCTGCAGGGACTGGTGGTGGGCACACAGGTCTCCAGCAGGTGGCACCAGTACTGGCCCATGCTGCAGCCCCCTGTGGTGTTACACAGAGGTACTGCTGAGCAGCACGTGAATGGATTAAGGAGAGAGCTGCAGCCTGAGGAGCAAAAAGGAGATTATTACCCACAGTATCAAACAAACAGAAGCTCTCAGAAAACCCTAAGAGTAAGTAAGTAAGTAACTGTTGTACCATACCTGGAGGAACCAGGTGGTGGTTGGGGTTGCAGTAGGGTCGGAGGATCTGGACACGGGCCTGAGAGGACACTGGACTGGGCTGGACTACCAGCTCTACTGATTCCAGCTGACCTGCATGACTGAACCACATCCCTGGGAACAGCTGCATCTGTGGGTGTCAAAGCAGCACCAGAATATAAATCCAAGAAACCAAAGTTTTAAATTTAGATAAGTACTCAAGAACAGGGAGGTTGCACCATACTGATGTACATTTTGTGTCATAGACCATTGAAGTTTGTCATGTTAAATTACATTGTGTTACGTTACATCACATTACATCATGTTATGCTACTTAACGTGACAAACGTACTCATTGTAACCCAAACCATGATCTTTTCCTACACCTAGCCACCTAAAGCTAATGAATTGTAAGTGAAACCTAATGAACCTGCGACTGTTTCACAATGTTGGATTTGCACCTTCTGGCCTACTGGTAGGTGCAGTTTGCCCTGTCTGAAGCTTGATAATGGCAATGATAACAACTGATAACGGCCATTAAATGGACTGATAGCATTTAAAAAGGGTTCTGAAGTCACTGTTTTTGATAACTGATTCCTAATCTTTTTAGTTTCTTTCGTGTTATAACCAAGCAATACCACCCTGTAACTGCTTATTAAATCAGAATCAGAATCAGAAATACTTTATTGATCCCCAAGGGGAAATTATTTATGTTACAGGTGCTCCTTGCAAGAGAGGAAAGATACATGAAAATATAAGAAATTTAAACAATAGTATTAACAAATATATAGTTAAATAAACAGGAATTATTAACAAACATAAACGTAAATAAATATATATATATACATACATATATATATATATTGTAAACAAAATTTACACAAACAGAATATATACAGTCAGGGTGAATGGGGTTATTGCACAAGTTAAATTAAATTATTGCAGTGTGTGAAAGTCTCAGGGCCACTCACAGGGAGGAGTTGTACAGTTTGATGGCCACAGGCAGGAATGATTTCCTGTGGCGCTCAGCTCAGGTTTATTGTGTCATGTAATAATACTAATACTGTACAAATACTTTTTTTAAATACTTCCTGAAGTAAAGTTGTCTAGCATTCACAGAAAAGAGTAATTATTCTGTGCTGCAGATGTTTGTCTTTTTGTTTCCTTTCTTGTTAATCATTTACCAACCCTGCAGGTTCAGCTTGCAACCTTTCAGGTAGGGAACCAAAGATTTAGACTGACGCTTTACTGACCTCCACTGGGAGTTGTCCGATGTCTGGGACCTTGGGAAAGGGGTGTATCTGGGTCTGAGCATAGATGCTGGTCATGAGCACCAATCCAGTCAGGTAACTGTCCTCAGATGGTAAAGAAACTGCATGAAGAGAGAATAACCAACATCACTGAAGTGTATTTTATATGAATGTGTGCCTCTGGTGTTCTGTAGCGAAACAGCAGTCTTACCAGTTACTTCTTTTCCACAGAGGAAAAGATATCGTCCAGCACACAGAGCCTTCCTCCATCGTCCCTGTGTCCCTAAGACCATCTGAGTACACCCCCTCTGACTCTCACTGCCTCCGGTCCACCATGCAGGACTCACTGGCTCCACAACCCCAACCTGGTCAGACCCTTCTTCCCCTGATCCCTTCAGCCACACCCACACAGTGGTTGTCCTAAACCAACACAAACGCAAAGAAAAAATGGCCTATAAATACATATGTAAATATAGACACACGAGAAGAGATAACTGTTTGTAGCACTCACAGTGGGAAAGCATAATGGATGAAGTTCTGCAGCTCCAGGCTGTCAGCAGATGCCAGATCTCCTCCCTTGGTCTCTCTGCATGAGTCCTGCGCCTCAGGCCATGACGATGTCATCTCAGAGAGCCAATAGCATCGCCGGCTGGCCAGGTGGATCTGACCACCATTTGGACAAGGAATGTCCTCTGGAAGGCAAAACACACGCTGAACTGACAGCATGCAAGAAGAGTCATCTCTCACTGACGGACAGTTGTCAAAGAATCAAAGAATAAAATGAACAACAGTTTGGTGAGATAAGCATGCTAGCTAATTTAATTTAAGTTCCCCACTTGTTTTTTTTTTTTGTAAGGGTGTCAATTTGCACTCATAATTAAACCTGTTGAGATAATAAGTCCCATGATGAGACGAGCAAGTTTAGCTCATTATGAAGAGTCACATGAGTTTAACAGTCAGTCACAACAGATGTTACACAACAGATGTTTCACATTTTGCAGATTTTCTTTGATTACACTCACATTTCACCTGCAGGGTTTGATTTCAAGATGTTATCATTGTGACGCACGATCACCTGTTGCTCTAATTAGGAAATTTGAGCCCAGACACCCTGCTTGATTATTGGAACACTGGAGAACCCAAAACCCCAATGTGTAGGATGAATTTTACTGAAATGCTAAATTATGTGCAATTAAAAGTGTAAAATAATGTACAATTTAAGTTCTAAGGGAACACTCAAAGGGGTCCCAGGATAAATCTCAGGGGTCATGTGATGATGACAGAGAGAAAGAAAGGATCTTGCAACAGAGAAATCACTCTTGTGATGTCCTGCAAACGAGGCGAGCAAACCCAAACTTTTCCAAAACAAAACATCACAGTCTTTAGTTTTTATCTTACTACAATACAACACAAAGCTCCTCACCTCCAGCTGCAGTGATCAAAACCACACAAATAATCCACAGTCCCTGCCTCTGTGGCACCAGTGCACCTGTCATCTTGTAGAGCACATCACATCCTCCTGAAGAGAAAACAGTCTCTGGTTCATCACCACAGCAGCACTGTAGAAGTCATTGCCCTCGCATCACTGCATTAAGTGTTTAGATTCTTCTTGTTGTTTACTCCTGCCATCGCCACAAGTCTCTCCGCTCATCCTCAGTGCTCTTGTACAAGTTGAAAGTTTTAGTCTTCCTCTCAGCCCCTCTTCCACGCTCTCATCTCCCTCCACTGACACCCCCCTCCCCTCATCCTGCACACACACCATGAGTTATGGTGGTGTCGTTGTTTTAAAGGGCTCTTCTCCACTCTCCCTGAGCGCCTGGGTGACTTCTACTTTGTCTCTCGGCAACAGCCACAGAAGCACAGTGGACAGAGGAGGCCAGCGCTGCTCATTACCATGTTGTAAAACCCCGGGCACTCAATAGAAACAGTGAGACTCACTCAGGCGGGACGCAGCTGAGGGTCCTGACAGAAACAAGCCTGAGAGGCCAAAGAGGCAGTGTAGTGTCAGTGCTGTTTGGCTACAAATTGTTGCTTTTGATATGCTTTTGGAATATAGAGGGATCAGTATCTTTTGCTGGGTTGCCAAATTTAGATGTTTCTCCAAAGTTCTCTCCCCTGCTTTGTGCCCACTGCCTGTTGTCCGAGCACTAACTCCAAGACCTCATCACTAACCAAACAAAGGCTCTGTGACGCACACGCAAAAGAAATAGACCTCGTATTAAAAGAAAGGATGCCTTCTGGGTTGCCTGGAGAGGGAACAGATAAAGCTGAAGGCAGTGATAAGGCAACCATAGCTGGGAATTGTGAGCCCATTGTCATGGATACGCTTGTATTTCTCTTTGTTGAACTGAGCAAAAGGGAGTGGTACTGTTTAGTTTGAAGAGAGAGCCAGTTGCAATATTGAAATCATTCAGTACATTTACTCTAGTGGGCTACTTCACTCAAGTACAATTTGACAACTTCTTACTAAAAAGTCATCCTCTTTTTTGTTTTTTATTTTTATTTTTAGTTGTGGACAGTATGTGATCTGCAATTGACAGTATGGGTTTAAAGAATTTAAATCCAACTCTAGTCTGACTTCAGCAATAGCCTACATAAGATCTACCTCAAGTAATGGTATAACTTTGTATAGCTGAGATTTTGATGGAGCCTGAAGTGTGCCACAAATTAAACAGGCATTTACAGAATGCAGTTCCAGACTTTATGCTCGATGACATCACGCATTTGAGTTTTCACATTCTTTCATTCAAATTTGGGAGGGAGTTGTTCATGCTTACTAATACTTTTAGACTGTCTTAGACCATAGGAAAAACATGTACATTTTCAACGTTGCATAGATTTCCTTTAGTTTAAAGCCATGTATGTTGCACATAAAAATTAAATGCAAGCCAACCCAAAGTCGTATTTAAAAAGATATTAAAACTAAAGTAACCATGCAAATAATTGCACAAATGATTTGTGTAAAATATCTAAATAAACCAGTAGTTTGGGAAAATATCAAAACTCAACTTATCATTATGATATGATGCTTTATCATTCATATTTTCATAACAGAGTTTAATTTTTTTTCCTATTTATATTTAATTATATTTTTTCTTCTTTTCAAAAGTCAGTTTAAGTTTAAAATGTCATTAATGTTCCATGGTACATAGTTCCCCTTTAGTTTAAAGCCATATATGTGGAGCATAAAAATGAAATGCAATCTATTCCACAAAACAGCCAATCTGGAAATCCATCGGTAAAAAAAAACAAAAAAAAAAACAAAACTTTTTTTTCTTCCTTCTACAATGTAAATTGCAGAATCTGTCAGAGATTACAAAACAGCCCCAAAAGTCATTATTAAAAAGAAATTAGAACCAAAGTAACGATGAAAACATCACACAATAAAAATGTGTAAAATATCCAAATAAACCAATAATAGAAGAAATATTAAGACTCAACTTATCATAATGATATGGTGCTTTATCATTCTTATTTTCATAAGAGAGTTTAATTGTCAATCTATA